GTTAGATATCTACATTTCTATAATAACAAGAATATCATGATAATCACATAAAACCAATTTTACATTAACAAAGAAATTTGAATGATGTTGTCAATATTATAACTATTATATCCAGTACCAATGAAATAAAAATCAGAATCACTTTACTATTTATCATTATAATTATAAACACCATAATACATTCTCAAATAAATATATTTATAACATAAGAATTCAATTACTATAAACACAATTATATATTTCAAACAGAGTGTTTAATCATTTTCATTATGAGAATAAATAAGATAAATAAAGAATATAAAAATATATAATATCACGATGATGAAATATATGATATTAAGAGATGAATATGCATTGGAATTAATTAGAGCAAATAATTATTATGAATGGAATAAGAGAATGAAATCTGTGAAATGAAAAAAAAAATGAATAAGAATTGAAATTAAAAGAGATTCTACAAAGCATATGGTAAGAGAAATAATAAAAATAAATTTAATGAAATATTTCCATATAAAAATAAGAATAGTCCATATATAATAATAAAATATTTAAGTAATAAATACAATGAAAGATATTAACAAATAGAATAATTAATGTAAGTGCTCATTTAATAAAATACAATAAATATGAATATGAAATGATATGAAATTATCAATTAAAATAATGATGAATATTACTATAAAATGAAATGAATATAATTAATTGAAATTAATACAAGAGATTGGTATTGTATGAATTAACAAATTAAGAATTATATGAAATGATAAATTAAAATGATGTAATATTTGTAATGATAAAATATTACCATTTGAACATATACTATTAAATTATAATGTAAATAAGAATATACAAGTTGATAAACATGATCCAATAATGAACATATATTAAGAATAACTAAATTAAAATATAAAATAAATATAATGAATGATAATGAAATAGAGAATGAAATGAAATTATTCTTCAATAAAATGAAATTGATAGAAATCACTAAGATAAAATAATACAATAAAATACAAAATAAAAGTAATATCAATAATAATGATTAATAAAGAATTAGTAAGAATAATCAATGAACAATGTATTACAAAACAATATAAAATAATGTAGAAATCATGAGAGAGAATAGAGAGATATAGAAGTATCTCATGAACAATACATTCAAGAGAATGAAATAATTTCAAATAAATAAAATGAAATAGAAAATTCAAGTTATATTGAAATTTAATTGTAAGTTTTATTTTTTCAATTTTTTCATTGGTTTAAAATATCATTTCAGAACCACAACACACAACCATAAAA